AAAGTAATTAACTAGTAAAATGTTTATCAAGATATCAGCAACATTTTACTAGTTAGCCACTTTTTGATATCTTTCACAGAAAATGAGATATATAGGCTCAAAGTGGACGATCCGGGTGTCGTTCTATTAGAGGTTTTACGGTATCTTGAAATTCGAATAATTGAGATGTAATTCTTTTGAAGTACTTATCCAGACCCTCGTTTGTTTATCTAAAAGCTGGACCGTAAAACCTGTCATAGATGAACTTGCACGTCGAGCTCCATTTTCTCGATTTCTATAAAAGGTAACGGAAAACTGTCGACTGATAAGCTGTTTATCATATTGCCAGAAACATTTTACCAGTTGACATATTCTTGATATCTCTTATAAGAGCCGAGATAATTGATCTCAAACTTGACAGTGTGAGGGCCCTTCTAATACAGGTTTTATGATGTTCCTTTTTTTCCCACTCGACACCTTTTCTCTTGTTTCAAAGAAAAATATCTCACCCCCCCCCCTCTCTCTCTCTCTCTCTCTCTCTCTCTCTCTCTCTCTCTCTCTTTCTTTATTAATGTATCATCTACTAATTTCTTTGGCTGTTATCATAAACTACACTGTTCCTAGCGTTAATTACGATAAAGAGCAAATTTACAAATGAGTCATATAAAAAAGTGACATCAAAATACCAACAAAAAAACCTCCCAGTCTCTAGGGTTGCGTCTCCAGGGATCCACATTATTTTCTTAACTACCTTAAACCATTCAGAGATCACTGTTTCATTTTGATCCTTCGTTACTACTGGAATGTTTCCCCTATCCGTCTGGTGCTCACTCTTTGCTCTCTATGAACAAACATAAATGTGTATGTGTGTCACCGCTCGTAACCCTGTTTCTCCTAGTTTTTCTGATTCACCAATATATATTCTTATGATATTAGTTTTCTTATCAGTCCTTTTTTCTCCTCTTTGTCCATTTTCCTCTCATACCGCCGCACACATCATTTTATGTGTGTTCACTCTGCCATCGATATTTTTGTGCTCATTTTTTAGCATCTGAATCATCAGTAATTTTGACTTTTGTTACAAAAATTTAAATATGTTATCTTTTTGTTAAACAGGGGCGGGGCTTGATACAAATTTCCTAAACCAAAAAATCTAAAATGTCAGTAATTCAAAAAAGAGATAATTTCAGATCTCATAAAAATTGCTCCCACATAATGGGACATTCAGTAAGCAGAGATGATTTTATATGGACACTAACAGAGCAACCACATATGAGCAGGAGGGAGGCTATCGTCAAAAAGTATCCAGAAGTTAAGCAGGTGAGATTTTTAAGATGTCCTGAACTGTAAAACCTGTGGTAGAAGTGCCCCTTCCTAACGCTTGCCGGCTGAACTACGCGGCGGCTGACGACCTCTCAACGTTGAGACAATTTATCTTGGTTTCTATGGAAGATATCTAAAAGTTATTAACTAACAAAATGTTTCTGATATTAAAATTAACATTTTGTTAGTTGACCACTTGTTGATATCTTTCACAGGAAATGAGATATATGCAATCAAAGCTGACGGGTTAGGAGGCGCTTCTATTTTTGTATTTCTATAAATGCTTTTCCTTTCAGCTCTTTGGTGTTGACCCATCACTGAAATATGTGGTATCCAGTATGGTCTTGTTTCAAATTTTTATGTGCTGGATGTTACAAGATGCCGATTGGATTTTAATACTTCTAGAAGCCTATTTTTGTGGAGGAATCATAAATCATGCGATGACACTGGCAATCCACGATATCTCCCATAATACTGCATTCGGAAATAAGCATCCGCTGAAAAACCGATTTTTTGGAATGTGGGCGAATCTTCCGATTGCTGTTCCAATTTCGATATCTTTTAAAAAGTACCATGTGGAGCACCATCGATATTTGGGTGAGTTTTTTTAATAACAAATAATGTAAACACTTTAATAGAGGGTCACCCAAACTTCTACCTTTGAGCTTGTAAATCTCGGTTCTTGTTAAAGATATAAAAAAGTGATCAACTAACATAATGTAGATCAAAATATAAAAAACATTTTGTCAGTTGACAACTTTTTGATATCTTTTACAGGAATCAAGATATATGAGCTCAAAGTTAAGTAAACTTCTATTACAGTGTTTATGGTAATCCCAAAAAAAAAACTGAAAATATGCTTGATGATTTTTCAGGAGAGGACGGTTTGGATACAGATGTTCCCACAGCGTTTGAAGCCAAATTCTTCACTACATCACCTAAAAAACTTCTCTGGCTGGCACTCCAACCATTTTTCTATGCATTCCGTCCATTGATAATCTACAAGAAGGCTCCAACTGATATGGAAATTTTGAATGCGGTTATTCAGGTAACGAGAAACCTTTTTTCATACCGGGGAGCCAGTTTTTCTCGATTCTTGTAGAAGGTATTCAAAAATTGTCAACTGATGAAATGCTTATCATAATATCAGAAGTCTTTGGTCAGTTGACACATTTTCGGTATCTTGCATAGGAACTTAGATAATTGAGCTTGAACTTGACAGTGCGGGGGGGGGGGGGGCCTTCTATTACAAGCTTTACAGTATTTTTTGATTTGATTCTCCAACCAACAAAACCTTTTGATTTTTTTGCAGATATCCTTTGATTTGGGAATCCTCTACTTCTTTGGACTCAAATCATTGATTTATCTATTCTTCGGAACAATTATCAGCATGGGACTTCATCCAAGTGCCGGACATTTTATCTCGGAACATTATGCTTTTAAAGAAGACCAAGAGACTTTCAGGTGAGCCAAACGCTTCTCTGAAATTGCTAATCTTTCCTTCTTTCCAGCTACTACGGTCTCTGGAATCTGTGCACCTTCAATGTTGGCTACCACGTGGAGCATCATGACTTCCCATATATTCCGGGAAGAGATCTCCCTAAATTGAAAGCCTTGGCTCCGGATTTTTATGATAACCTCCATCAGCATACGTCGATGATGGATATTCTGACAGAGTTTGTGATGAATCCAGCGATGGGACCGTATGCACGACTGAAGAGAAAACCTAGAGTGGACCAAGAATTTTATGGAAATTATCAGCTTTTTGAATACGTCGAAGGGGTAGGTGTTGACCAAATTTTTATATAAGCGTGGTGACCTGACTTTTGCAAGCTGTTTTCTAGGTCACCGACCTAGAAAACATACCAGGTGAATATCAGGCCAATTCTAGTCCAATGAAAGGAGGTAGCCTAGTAAATTCAACTTGCAAAAATTAGGTCGCCATGTTGACATGTACACTAATGTGAACGAAAAGAGAAGAACATTGAAAATTTCATCACAAATGACATATTTTCAGTTCCTTCATCACATCGGTGTCTATCGACTCCAGAAGTTCGCGGGAAATGTGTTCGATCTCAATAATAATGAAAAGAAACTGAATTGACGAAAAATTGGATGCTTTATATTCTGAATAAACCAGCGAATAACATAAAAAGAAGGAGAAAATTTCAAATTAAAAAAAGGAAAAACGATGAAATTACGAAAATAAAAAAATGAATGAGATAACGAGCCAAGAAGACAATAATTTACTTCTTCTTCCCCTTCGACACTGTAAACGCGTCCTTCATCAACTTCTCCTTACTACTGAAAGCTCCGTCGAATAGTTTGAAATATTAAACTTCAAAGGAAGTCCAATTCTTCAATCCATACCCATTGATAACTCATGTTCCAACTCTTTGTAGCTAGATACTGCCATGTCACCACCATTATCCGAAGATCATGGAATATTCAAAGAGGATCCGTTTAGCAATGGTAAGACTATCTGATCGGCAAGCTGGATTGGAGCCAGTTACGAATTGTCTCAAATTGATTGAAACGGACGTGGATGAGCGTTAGATTCGAACTGTAGGTTCTCGCTTGTTGTCTTCAATGCTCTGGAGAAAATGGGTTTTGGAAGGCAAAATCACCTTTTCTCTTTCGAGTACTGAGTCTCTACGTGACAAAAGAGATCAAGAGGCTTGATAGTCTGGCTAATCAGAACAAGTATTAGCAGCTAATCTTCCAGATACTCTCACCTTTTGCGGTTAACTTTTCGGATAAATAGAGAAAAACCTAAACATTTTCGACATTTTCTCAACTCTTCAGAGTTGTCCTCAACATCATTTTATACACACACTTTCTTCTTGATTTTCCAAAATACACCCCATTTTCTTATTTTCCTTGTTGTTCTTCACACCTGCCAGCCCTAACCTTTTGTGGTAGATCAAATTTGGTCTCTAGGATCTTCCTTCTAAAAAGAAAAGAGGAACTTCCCTCCTGGGAAACGGAATGACATTCAAAGACGAAGACATACACCTCTCCATTTATTGATTATAAGAACGATACCCAATTTTCCCAGTTTTTTTTTTGGAATTTCACACATTTTCTTTCTAAATCGCTGCAAAATTCATTGGATCTACTCTAGGCGCCAGAGTATTTTTCTGTTTTTTCACTTTTTCTTGCTTTTTTTCAGACAAATTTTGGGAAAAAAGGCGGATTTTTCGGACAAGAATTTCTTTTCCCTTCTTTTCTTCTTTTTTCTGAAACTGCTGAATTTTTTTGTGGAATTTTGAAATTTTAAATAAATTTTAAAAAAATTTCTCAGGGTGATCCATTGATCGTGTTAGAAGTCTACAGTCATGCCAACAACTTCCAAGGACTTGGCTGCTCTATGGATGACCAGCACTGCAAGCTCCAGATTCCAAAAGTGAGTTTGTTCTGCAATACAGGATGAAAACGGTTTTTTAAAGAAGTTTTGAAAAAACTTGAAATTTAATTGAGAAACGATTACAAAATGAATAGAAGGGTAACCTTGCTTTCAACTTCGAGCATTTTTTCTCGATTCCTGTGAATGGTATAAACAACTTGTCAACCGATAAAATGTTTATCATAGTATCACAAACATTTTATCAGTTGCCCTCTTTTTGGTACCGTTCACAGGAATCAAGATAATTGAGCTCGAAGGCGACGGCCAGAGTAGTATTCTATTACAAGAAATACGGTAGTTTTGAGAATTTCGGAAATATTTCAAATAGCTCGAGTGTCTTAAAAATTTAAAAAAAAGTTTTAACAAAATTAGGAGTTTTTTTTTGAAAACAGACAGACTGTTTTGAAATTTAAAAAAAACATTTTGAGAAGAAGACCCTGATTTTTGGTTTAATAGGCACTTGTGTAGGTGTTCCAGGGTTCAAGGGTACATCGAAAAAGGGTGATTGAAAAGCGAAATACCGTATTTCCTCTGATAGAAACCCACCTCTAATAGAAGTCCACATGCTAAAAAAAACATTTTCGATAATTTTCGTTCGATGTGCTTTTGGATGCTGGGCCTTAGTAGGTAAAAACTAAATTAGTGACATCGATTTTATTTTTTTTGTTTCCAGAAAATGGATCAGAAAGCATATCGATTCGAGGAGTTCCAAAGAAACTGAAGAAGAGCAAGATCTAGATGTAGATAGAGAGTGGAGACGAGCTAATTAAACGTTCTTACTATTAGTATTGTATATTTTTTTTCTTTTCACTTCTCTGTTAGAAACTGCTCATTATCTATGTATCTTACGCCCATTCGATGATCGAGGGAATCACCTTTGAACCACGTAACGTTCTAGATGGGGTTTCGGCTCTTCTATACTCGACAACTAGTTCAAAGTAGTTGGCGAGGTTGTTGTTGTCTTTCTTTCTCTCTCTCTCTCTCTCTCTCTCTCTCTCTCTTTCTCTCTCTCTCTCTCTCTCTCTCTCTCTCTCTCTCCATCTCTCCACCCACAAGAATCTTCTGAAAGAGAGAATAGCAATCAGAGTCCCAATCGAAGAAGGAACGGATAACTGATGGTCTTTTATCAATGGAGCAAAAATTAAAATTTTTTGTAAAGCAAAGGCTGAGTGGAAAAGAAGGGATTACCAAAAGGAGTTAAAGATTCTCGATGCCGGTCATTGTGGCAATTATTCTTTGTCCCACCGTCTATCTTCATCAGTTGTTTCAAGATAACCATGTTCACTCAAAGTGAGTTTTTTTAAATACCGTACTTGCTCTAACAGAAGCCCACCTTATGCGTCCACTTTAAACTCAATTATGTCGGTTCCTCTAAAAGATAGAAAAATTTTTAAGTGGTAAATTATTTATCATGATATCGCCCTTATTTTATCAGTTGACAGGTTTTGGATACCTCTAACAGAAACCTATATACTTGAGCTCAAGTCTGACAGCTTCGGTGGGATTTATATAGAGAAAATTTTTTAAAAAGTTCATATTTCATTTAAAAAAAGGTATTTGAAACTGCCAAAAATTGCTCCAACGAGGCTTTTGTCCGTTCTGACAGAAAAGAGATCTCGATCTGATATTTGAATCCGGTACCTAAAATTGAACGTCAAACGTTTTCTTAACAAAAAATCTCAAAAAATTGACAAACATTTTTTTTGATCGAAAAAAAGCTAAGTCTTACATAAGGCATTTTTTCGAAATCCAAAAAAATTTTTTTTTTGTTTTTTTGTCATAGAAACGTTCCACATTTAATTTCAAGTTACGTCCCAAAATTTCAGGCCCAAATCTCTTATTTGAACAAAGTTATTAAGGATTTTTCTAAGCCTATACTTAAGCCAAAATTCGGTTTCAGGCTTTTGTCCATAACTTCGTATCGAGAAGAGATCTCGATCTGATATTTGAATCCGGTACCTAAAATTGAACGTCAAACGTTTTCTTAACAAAAAATCTCAAAAAATTGACAAACATTTTTTTTATTAATTACCAATAGGAAGAGAAAAAAGAAAGAAACAATTTTAAATCAGAGAAGAAAAAAAACAGTTCCATTTGGTGGTGGGGCGTGGTATTCAGTGTTTTTTTCGGTGTGGGGGGGGGGTGAGAATTGAATTTAAAAAGAGAGTTTGGGTTAAAAGTTGGAAAAATCTTGCGCGAAGTTTCGGATAAATCATTCGATTTTTTGATTAAAATTGAAAGGAAAGTCGTTCGCATAGTTTAGAAAAAGAGGGGAAACACAACTGGAAAAAAAGGAATGAAAGAAATTTGAAATTATAGGGGAAGAATCTCAGAAAAGAAGACAAGTTATTTATTGAGTAGTCTCCTGGCGGACTTCAATCTTCTCCACAACCATATCCGGATTCATTTGGGTCGCCTCCATGATTGCTTGAGAGAGTTCCTGGAAAAAAGATTACTAATTGAATATGTAATTAGATCAGAAACTTTATTCAAGCTTCACAACGATATCTAACAAAATGAGAAGCGGGTTATTTTGAAATATAAGAGTCTTAAAAAATTCGAATGTTCAGATTTTTTGAGTCTAAATAATTTTAAAAAGCAGTTTTTTCAGATCTCTGTGACACTTCGAAAGGCTTCGAAATGACCGGTTTCAAAATGATCGGTTTCGAAGTGTCATGCAGTTTCGAAATAACCGGGTTCGAAGTGACGCCATTTTTTGAGCTTCGAGAAAGACAAAAAGCCTCCAGAAGCTTTTTCCGTCTAGATTTTGTTTTTCTAACTAACTCACCGCATCATGATCGATATCTCCATCGGAATGAATAGTGACACGATGCTCAACGTGCGTCTCGACGACACCGTCCTTCTCCGTCTTATAAGTGATCGTTTCGATCGTTCGATTGCCTTGAGTCACACTTTTCGATGAGACGTACTCGCCGAGTCCCTGGAAAACAGACTAATTTGAAATTCGGAAAATCTTGAATCCTAAAATTCAAATTTCCAAGATTCAGAGCTTTTATAAATGATATTTCAGCCTTTTTCCGAATTGCAGAATTTCAAATTTCCAGAAACCTTGATTTCTGGAATTCCCCAATCAATTCTCTACCTGCTCAGCCCATCCAGGTGGTGCGGCATTCTCGCCTCCCTGAGCCTCATAGGTCATCGTGCGTGTCTGCGTCTCCACAATTCCAGTACTATCACCTCCGGCTTCATCTCCAGAAGGCTTCTGTCCGAGTGGTGTCAACTGTTCACGAGATCTCTCCACATCAACAACACCGACTGGCACTTGATCTCCATCGACAATGTAGTTTTGGAAGGATTGCGTTTGCACAGTGTGCTTCACTTGGGACGATTTCACTGTTCGTCTGAAAAAAGTCTGCTGTATCTCCAGACTTCCAGATGTCTGTTTTCCGTATTCCCCCATTGAAAATCCTGTTATTTAAAGATTTTCTGCAACCGTCCATGAATCTGTCTGCATGTCCAGACTTCCAAATGTCTGATCTTGATTGCTCATCGTTAAAAAAACTTACGTAATCTGTCTGCCATTCTCATCAGTGTAGACCTCGACTTGTTCCGGTAGATCGCTAGTCTCTTGCCACGTAGACACCGTTGTATAGGGTTGGCCGCTCTCCTGCAAAACATGAGCAATTAGATGGGAAAAGTGGGCGGAGCCAGAATGAAAATGAAAATTGGCGAAGCGAAGCGAGAACCGAGTTTTTTGTTTTTCGTTTAAAAAAATCGAACAAAAATATGAGAGAAACTCAGAAAACGTCCTCGATCTTCGTCCAATTTCCATGTTCTGGGGCGCCTTGGACGCGTTTTGAATGAATGAAGCATCACACTTTAGAATATATATATATATATAAAGATCATATATGTTTTAGAAGTAGAAGAAGCCACACAGTCGGTATATAGTGAAAGGTGCAGTGTGGCTGGAGCGCCTTTTCAGCGCTTTTCCAGGGGTGTAATAAGCCGTGCGATAGGTGTACAATGGAGCGCTTTTGACGCGTTTACAGATGGACGACGACGATGAACAGAGGACCAAAACTAAGAGAGAGGAAACAAAGAAGAAGAAGAGATGTTTTTGAAAGCTGAGCAATCGGAGTCAGTATTATGGTAGTAGAGGCAAACCAATCGGCATATATACACAATACCAAATAGTTTTCTTAGCCAAGACCTGGGACAATGGCCATAAGATGGCCATCACTTGCCCTTGGCCTTGAAAACCAAAGCATTTGCCTATACCTCGAAAGAGACCGGTAATGGCGCATTGGCGCGCACAGTGAAAGTGCGCTCGGCGTGTTCCAACCGTGGCGAGCTGGCGTTCAGACGTTCCGCCCGTTGTATCGTTGCCATCAGTGACTGAACGGTTTTTGAGATTCTTTGGGGAAAAATTCAAGGGGAAATATCACACATTTTAGGGGGGCTAGAAAATCCCTATGAAATCATCAATCTAAAAACCAAGAGACACTGATGAGGGAAAAAACTAAAAAACTCAAAAATTTTCTTGAAATTCGAATTTCTAAAAATCAGAAGTGTGTGTGGGTGTGTGGGTGAGAATCAAAGAAGGAGGGAAAATTATTTTGTGTAAAGAAATAGAAAGAAATAGAAAAAAAGACGAAAAAAAGGGCACAGCGGTCTCTAAAAATGTCTAGAAACTTTTTAGGGCCCATACTCCGGAGGTACATGGGTACATTGAGGGTACATCATGCTCAGGGGGTCCATTAGATGCACCTTTTCAGACTACCCTCTGACACCTTGAGCATTATGTACCCTATTTCTATGTACCCTCGGAGTATGGGCCACTTTATAGGAAAATCAAAAAACAATCCACACCCATTCACTCGCACACACCAGTTCAGGTCGAATTCTATTCAGAACTTGATAGGGAGAAGGAGAAGAAGAACAATTCCACCTGGATTTTTCAGTAGCAAAATATACAAAATCTCGAAAATACCGCTTTTTCATTATCAAAAATTCATAAATTTTAAGTTTTTGAACCTGAAAATTGTTTCAATTTTCAAATTTCGTAACATCTAATAGAAGGGCACTCTCTCTGTTTAGTTTGAGCTCGATTATTTCGGCTCCCATAAGAGATATATGATTAATAATTTATCAGTTAACAAAACTTCGATATCTCTTGTAGGAGCCGAGATAATCGAGCTCCAACTTGACAGAGTGGGGGTCCTTCTATTACAGGTTTTACGGTATTTTGAAATTGAACAATTTTCGGGTTAAAAAATTTCAAATTTCATTTACTTTTGAAGTTATTTTTAAGTTTATTTGATTTTTTTTTATAATAAAAAGTGCAAGTTTCTGCTCCTTCTTCTTCTCCCAATCCTGAATATCCATGCATTTCCTTTCTCTATTGTTCATCTCAACCTAGCCTATTCTAATCAGTATTTTCTCAATTTTCTAATTAAGCAACTTCAGAATCCCTCTCTTCACGTCCTCTTTTCCTCCATGTCATACCGGATCATTTGGATTGAAACCAGACGTATACCCATCGCCAGTCAGCCGGAATTGCTGCTCGCGCGTCTCGTGTCGCACTTCTTTCGTATTTTTCAGCTCTTTCGGCTGCTCCGATGACGTCACCACTACAGTAACCTCGTTCATTGGCTCATCCAACCGTCTGCCAGGCGATTTGTGTGTTCGATGTTCGGGCTTTTTCGGCGGAGGAGCAGTTTCTTGTTGATGAGAAGTGGGCGGAGCATGCTTAAACTATGTGTGTGCATTTCTGTGTGTTGTGTTGTTTCATGTATCATGCAAAAATTATAAAATTGAAGAAAATAAAAATCTGAAAATAATTGCAAATTCGAGACGCATTTTCAAATCGCTCTTGAAAAGTTAATTAGGTATATGTAATTATAACCGATTAGGGGAAATTTTTAAAGAGAATAATCTAGAAAATTAGTTGAAGATAGGTAATTAGAACCAATTAAAAGGGAAAAGTATAGTACTAAAAATTAGTGAAATCCGAACGAACTTTCATAGTTTTTCAGCCAAAAATTGAGCTATTTCGAGTGTTTTATTTGGTTAAAATGGCTCAAGATAAGTTCTAACGAGTAGAATATAGACCAATTTCGATCTTTTTAGCTCAATTTACACCTATTTTTACACTTTCTTCGTATAACTTTAGTCTGTAAATTGTCATTTTTTTCAGAATATTTCCAGCATTGAGCCTAGATTTTTCAGCTTCCTTCTGGTCATTTTTGGCGCCTAAATTCAGGGCATTTCTAGTCGACTTTGGCCATTTCAAACCAATTTAAGCTGGTTTTCACAGTTTTCATCAAGTCTTAAAGACTCACCGGCTCATACTCAACAACGGCGAACTCTCGCTTCTCGTCGTGCTCGCTGTCCGATGTCTCACCACTCGTCTCGTTCTCGCCCTTCTTATTGGCACCGTTGCTCTTCTTCTTGTCCTTCTTCTTGCTCTTGTCACGCTGCAAAGATTATATGAGTAATTAGGAGGCTAATTAGGTAAAGGTATACTGTAGTTATACTGAAGGGAGAAGAGGGCATGCTAGGCTGGGTTTTCAGTAAATTCGATTTATTTTTCTGCTATGTTGTGCCAGTTTTAGCGTTTTGTAAAATTCAATTTTAAACTATTTCCAGTTGAATTTTAGATTTTTCAGTCTATTTTGGAACTTTTCGTCTATTTTTCAGTCAATTTAGGACAATTCCAGACTATTTTTCAAATTCTTTGGGCTCATTTTCAGCGATTTCCACCTTATTTCAAATCAGAAACTTTTTCTGTCCTTTTTTTTTGTGGTGTCTTGAGAGTTTGAGTAAATATTGAAGGAGAAAAAATTAGGGTCAATGCGGCTTTTCACACACACACACACAGGAGCGAGATGAGATATTTGGGTGAAACGTTTGCTAGGTAAATATAATTTTCAAAAAAGAGGAAAAAGAGGATTAGTGAAAGGAGACGAAAATTGGAGAAGTTTGGAAATAAAAACATTTTTGTATGAACAAAAAGTGGCAAGTTTGATCTCAATTATCTCAGCTCCTATGCAAGATATCAAAAATGTGTCAACTGATAAAATGTTTGTGATATCATGATAAACAGTTTATCAGTTGATACCTTTTTGATATCTTTAACAGGAACCGAGATAAATTGTTTCAATGTCAAAAGTTAAGGGGACCCTTCTATTACAGGTTTTAGAGTATCGAAAAATGTGATTTTCTAGAGGCAAATTTTGAGAAAAAGGGTCGAAGTTTCAGATAGAAGTTTCAGATTTTTGGTCTTTTTGGGTTCAAATTTCCAAACTTCCAGATTAAATTTCAGTTCAAATCAAGGAAAATTCAACAACATTCTGGCTTTGGCTATCTACCTTAATTAAATGAATTTGAATTTCAACTTTCTGGTGATTTTCAGACCATTTAACTTCCCTAAACCCAAAAATTGCTATTTTTCTGAAAATTCTATAATTTCAAATCTAACTTCTAAATCTTTTCCCCAAACTTCCATCCCATTTCCTCCTTTCCCTTATCTCTTGTTTTAACAACAAAAAGAGCAAAAAGAGGGGAGGAGCAAGAGGAGGAGGAGGACTCCAAAAAACGCCTCCTTCTTCTGATGCCTCTAGCTATATATTCCCTATAGAGTTCCTTCTCTTTTCTTTTTCCAGTAGAGAAGGAAATAGCTCATCACACCAACCAGACACACACCACTGTAAAAAGAAGAAGAAGCGGTCTCTTCTTCTTTGAATTCCAACAAAAAGAAGAAGAAGAAACATTGGAATAGGAGGAAAAATGATGGGGGCACAGCAGTGTATTATTCGGAGGGGAGTTGGTTGGAAACAAGAGAAAAGACAAAAGAAGAAGAAGAAGAATTTCCTTCTTCTTGTTTAAGTTTTATTTCAACCAGCTGGATTTATATAGGAATAAAGAGGAATTGTCTAAGGACAACCATCTCTTCTTGGGGGGGGGGGGGGGGAATTCCTAATGAGCAACAGACAATTTTGGGTCAAGAAAATGAGTCTGGACTAGACGAAAATAGATTTTCAATTCAATTTCAGACATCGGGAAATCAAAAAATCGGGGTTTTTAGAAATTTAGGCATCTAGGAATCTGGGAATCTGAGAATCTAGATATTTAGAAACCTTGGAAATTCTGAGTTTCAGAACTACAAAGTCAGAAATTCGTAAAATTAGAGATTAAGAAAGTCGAATGAATTGAAAATTGGTTTATAAAAATATGCTGAAATAAGTTTTAAATGTCTGAAAATCGCTGAAAATTGACTTAAATTCTATGTAAAATAACTGAAAATGTGTCCCAAATTCTATGTTGATTATTTTTAGATATAGCTGAGACTTTCTGGAATTTCAGGAATTTTTGGGCTGAATAGACTGGAATTATCAGATTTTAGGATGAAATTTTTTGGAGAAAATTGCAATGGGATTCTAGATTTCGGAATTTCAAAATAGACTGAAAATACAATTTTTAGTTTAAATTCAAATTTTAAAAAGTTTCATTCTACCTAGAACCCTCAAGCACACACTACACACACTACAATACCACACTACAAACTACAAAAACCCTACCTTGAACCCGAGTCTCGCCAGAAATGACATTCTCTCAGGTGGCTGCGGTGACATGCGAGTAGGAGGTGTCCAGGAGAAGTGATGCAGTCCAGTCTCGTCTTCAGATACCGAACCGACGAAACTGGGAACAACCACAGAATGATGGCTTGTTGTCGTAGCCGATGCACTGGCAGAGGGCTCAGAGTGTCCAGAGAAAACAGCGGTGGCCGTTGAGAGGTAGGCGTGGCTTCGTCTCGTCGCCTCGCGCAACACATACGCCGGCTCCAACTGCACTTCGGCTCGTCTCTCGTGTCTGATTTCCACGTAGCAATCACCGGAAACAGTGTGGCCTTCGATTCTTGCTGGTCTTGGAACATTGTAGGTCAACGAGGATGGAATATAATTGATAGCGTTGAGAGTGCTGGCTGTGTAGTCAACTGGCTCGACGGCTCTTTCAGCCAATGCTTCGTGAACTGCTTGTTCTTCCTTAGTCAATTCCATCACTTCTTCTTCTGGAGTCTTCTGCATTGGCAGTACTCTGGCTATCAATTTAATATCCTTCTTCTCTTCAACAATCTTTTGCTGTTTTGGCTGCTTCTCCTCAATCTCTTTTGATCTTCTATTTAACAAGTGCCAAAGGTACGTGGAGCTAGATCCGTTATGATACTTTCTTGCGTACCTCAGAATCGACACTTCTGGCACCTCTTCAGCCGGTGACGTCATCTCTAGCGGACCGTTATATCTCGCAACGGGGAATGAATAGAATACCCTATTGAGATCTCTTGGCTCAACCTCATCTTGTTCTCCAGAATGCTTCTTTCTATGAATCACGCGATACTTCCGGATGATTGGTGTTGGTGACAAGAAGGGTACATCGAGTGGCATTTCTTCCAAGTCCAAATTTAGGTCAGTGGTGTCTAGAGGTCCAGAGTATGACGTAGATGGATAGGATGTCGTTCGTGTCTTGGGAGTTGGTCGGAGGAAACTGAAGCGAGAAGAACGAGGTGGAACATTCTCAAGATCTTCTGATCCATCGGAAGATTTTTGGTTCAGTGGAATCTCTGTGAGCTCTTCCTTCTTATGAGTCTTTTCCAATTCTCCAGAATACACTTCCGAAGACATTCCATAGGCATCCGGCTTCTCAACGACATCTTCATCTCCATTGTGTCTCAGTCTTGCAATCAATCGATATCTCTTCGGTTCCTCTTCAGTCCTGGAGTCTTCCTGCTTCTTTGGAGAGTACTTTGGAATCTCTCTAGCTTCCAAAGGAACATGCTCCAATGGCTGAGCTCTTCCGGTAACATCCATAGGTCCTTCGTAGGTTGGAGACGTTGCTGGGTATCCAGAGCTCTTTCCCTTGGAGAAGAATCGGAATCGGAAGGGTTCTGGAGCTTGAGGTGGAACTCGAGCGACTTGACGAACTCCTTTCAGCGTCCAGGATTCTCCAGAATGCTTGACATCTGAGAAATCTTTGATGGGTACTGTATCCAATTCTTGCTTCTTGCTCATTTCGTTCAGAGTTCCAGAGAAGACTTCAGAAGACATCTTGTAGGCGTCTGGCTTTTCAACGACGTCTTCTTCTCCTTCATGGCGAAGTCTGGCGATCAAGCGGTACTTTTTGGGTTCTTCCTCAACGATCTTCTGGATCTTTCTAACTGGAGTGACCTTTGGAGAGTATCGTGGAACGGTTCCATGAAGATATGGCATTGGTTCCATCTCATCTGAACGGCTAGTCAAGTCCAATGGTCCTTCGTATGTTGGAGACGTGGCTGGATATTCTGATGGGGTCTTCTTGGCAAGACTGAGGAATCGGAGACGGAATGGAGTGGATTCTTCATGTTCAGGAGTAACCTCCTTCTGTCGCTTCGAAGCCTTTGGTGACTTCTTGGCAACCACATTCCACGATTCGCCAGTTCCTTGGAACTCCGAATATTGGGACAGTGGAACATCTTCCATTTCTCCGAACGATGGTCTCATCTCATCCAGTGGTCCATCATAGACTTCAGAAGACAAACCGTATCCTTCTGGCCTCTCAACTTCATCCTCCTCTCCTTCGTGTCTCCATCTAGCGATCAAGCGATGAAGTCGACTCTGTTGTGGTGGCTCGTCAGGAAATTCTGGAATACTCTTTTTGGGTGAGTATTCTGGATAATCGGCCCGCATCTCGAATGACGACTTCTCAACATCTTCTGTTCTTTCAAACACATCAAGATCTCCTTCGTAAACTGGAGTTGTTTCTGGATACCCTTGAGTCTTGGAGTGACGATGGAAGATGTTGAAAGAGGCAGCACGGGAACGGTCTTTTGTTGGTGAAGCCTTTTCAGGAGACTCCTCGTGTTCCAGAGGTTGAATTCTTGCGACCAGCTTGACGTCAGATGGTTCTGGAGTCGTTGGCTGAGATGCCCTCTTCTCCTTCTTCGCCTTCTTCACAAACCAATTCCACGACTCTCCAGTTCCTTGGAACTCCGAGTAATCACTCAATGGAGCATGTTGGATCTCTCCAGATGGTCGGATATCATCCAATGATCCTTCGTAGACATGATGAGACAATCCATAGGGATCTGGCTTTTCTACCACGTCTTCAACACCTTCATGTCTCCATCTGGCGAACCAGTTGAATCTGAACGGCTTCTTTTCCTCATGAGCAGCGTCTGGAGTAGAGGTGACAAACTCTTGATGCTCGAATGGCGAAGATTGGAACTCATCGGATCGGATAGTTTCATCCAGTGGTCCTTCGTAGGTTGGCTCAGATGGTTGGTCAGTCGACTTGGAAGATCTTGGAGAGCGAGTGAAGAATCCGAACTTTGATGGTTTCTTCTCCTTCAACTCCTCTTCAACTGATTCCTCTTTTGGTTCTTCCGACCTGACATAGGCTATCAGACGGATCTCCTTCTTCTCTGGATCCTCTTCAATCAGTTCCTTCTTCGGAGACTTGGCCTTTTTGTGTTTGAGTGTCGCAACTGGAGAAACCGGAAGTTTCGAACACTCCCATTGTCCTGGAACAGCTTCCAGTGGTGCATGCTCGATTTCTCCATATGGACGGATGTCATCGAGCATTCCTTCAAAGAGTTCAGACGAGAATCCATATTTGTCTGGCTTCTCAACCTCATCTTCATCCCCATCGTGTCTCCATCTGGCAAACAATCGGAAATGTTTCTTCTCGGTTTCGGATGGATCTTCAGTTGAAGCAAGGAGTTCAGGAACTTCAACGTTGGGCTTTGGAACGTATGGAGGATACTCTGGATGATCGAATGAGGTTCCTTCCATTTCTGGGTTACGAAGAGTGGTGTCGAGTTCCCCAGTGAAGACATCAGAAGCAGTTGGGTAACCAGCTGGAGTCTTCTTGGTCTTCGTGGTCTTGGAGAAGAATCCAAATTTGGAGGATGATTCCTTCTTTGGCTTCTTCTTGATTGAAGCACCAACTGATTCATCTTCTGGCTTTGATTTGATTCTGGCGATGAGACGAACTTCTGTGGTTTCTGGCTCCTCTGGTTCTTCAACCTTGACCGTCTTTTGAGACTTGGTCTTCTTCTCAACAAGAGGACTGGCTGGTTTCTCAACCTTCCAAGATTCCCATTGTCCAGGAACAGCTTCAAGTGGGCAATTTTCGATTTCACCAGATGGGCTGATGTCATCGAGTGGTCCATCATGAACTTCAGTTGAGAATCCATACTTGTCTGGCGTCTCAACAACGTCTTCATCTCCCTCATGTCTCCACCTGGCGATCAGTCTGTAGCGTTTCTTATCTGGCTCAGCTGGAACTTCCGGAGTCTCGGTGACAGTAACTTTTGGAACGTATGCTGGGTATTCTGGATGGTCGAATGAAGACTGCTCCATATCATAGACACGATCAGTAGTATCCAAATCTCCAGAATAAGCATCAGAAGTTGTAGGATACCCAGCTGGAGTCTTGCTGGATCTAGAGAAGAATCCAAATCTGGTAGATTCCTTCTTTGGCTTCTCCTCCTTAACCGACTTAACAACTGGTTCATCTTCTGGCTCTGATCTAACTTTGGCAATCAGACGAATCTCCTTCTTTTCTGGCTCAGCTGGTTCCTCCATCTTGATCTTCTTGGGAGATTTGATCTTCTTTTGAACAAGAGGGCTTTCTGGGAGCTTCGAGTATTGAGTTTTGGTTGGAGCAGCATCCAATGGACCGTGTTCGATTTCTCCAGATGGGCGGATATCATCGAGTGGTCCATCATAGAATTCTGGAGCGAATGCATAGGCATCTGGCTTTTCAACAACGTCTTCATCTCCTTCGTGTTTCCATCTGGCAATCAGTCTGTACCGCTTCTTCTCTGGTTCGGCTGGAACTTCTGGAGTCTCGGTGACAGTAATCTTTGGAGCATAAGCAGGATATTCTGGATGATCGAATGAAGATCCTTCCATTTCTGGATTACGATCCGTGGTATCCAAGTGTCCAGTGTAGGCATCGGAAGTCGTTGGATATCCAGCAGGAGTCTTCTTGGTCTTGGTGGTCTTGGAGAAGAATCCAAATTTGGAAGATCCTTCCTTCTTTGGCTTCTTTTCCTTATCTGACTCAACCAGTGGATCGTGTTCCTGCTCTGACTTGACGTAGGCGATCAAACGAATTTCCTTCTTTTCTGGTTCTTCTACTACTAGAGTCTTCTCCCTCTTTGGAGACTTGGTCTTCTTTTCAAGTGTAGCAATTGGGGCCACTGGAAGTTTTGAGTATTCCCATTGTCCAGGAAGAGCATCGAGTGGAGACTGATCGATTTCTCCAGATGGTCCAATGTTCTCCAATTCTCCAGAATATACTTCTGAAGACATCTTGTATGCATCTGGCTTTTCAACAACGTCTTCGTCTCCTTCATGTCTCCATCTGGCAATGAGGCGGTAGAGTCTGTTCTCAGTTTCAGCTGAAGCTTCAGAAGTCTCGAGTTCCGGTGTAGTTGGCTGATCGGCTGGAGTCTTGCTGGATCTAGAGAAGAATCCAAATCTGGAAGATTCTTTCTTTGGCTTCTTCTCCTTAACCGACTCAACAACTGGTTCATCTTCTAGCTCTGTCTTGATACGAGCAATCAGACGGACTTCTCTGATTTCCGGTTCTTCAGGTTCTTCCATCTTAATCTTCTTTGGTGACTTCTTCTTCGTTTCGACAATTGGGAGTGCTGGTCTCGCATCCTTCTCTACGTACGCATAGACATTGGCGTGATCTGCGATCGGAGTCTGTTCGATTTCATTCTCACGAGAAATCTCTTCCAATGGTCCATCGTAGGCAGAGTCGGCGAACGCGTATGGGTTTGGCTTCTCAACCACATCCTCGTCTCCTTCGTGTCGGAATCTGGCAATCAGTCGGTAGCGTTTCTTTTCTGGCTCAGCTGGAATTTCTGGAGTCTCGGTGACAGTAACCTTCGGAGCATAAGCCGGATATTCTGGGTGGTCGAATGAAGATCCTTCGAGATCTTGTGATCTTTCAGTCTTGTCCAACACTCCAGTGAACACATCGGATTCTGGATAGTCGACAAGAGTCTTCTTCGTATTGGTGGTTTTGGAAAAGAATCCAAATTTAGAAGATGATTCCTTCTTCGGCTTCTTTTCTTTAATTGGAGCAACAACTGATTCATGTTCTGGTTCTGACTTGATTCTGGCGATGAGTCGAACTTCTCTTTTTTCTGGTTCTTCAGGAGTTTCAACCTTGACTTCGTTCGGAGACTTGGTCTTCTTCTCAACAACTGGACTGGCTGACTTCTTAACCTTCCAAGATTCCCATTGTCCAGGAACAGCTTCAAGTGGGGAATGCTCAATTTCTCCAGACGGTCTGATGTCATCGAGTGGTCCTTCATGAACTTCAGTTGAGAATCCATACTTGTCTGGCTTCTCAACAACGTCTTCATCTCCCTCATGTCTCCATCTGGCAATCAGTCTATAGCGTTTCTTCTCCGGCTCAGCTGGCACTTCTGAAGTCTCGATTTCGGTAATCTTCGGAGCATAAACTGGATATTCTGGGTGATCGAATGAGCTGGATTCCATGTCTCGAGCACGTTCTGTGGTATCCAAATCTCCCGTGAAAGCATCAGAGGTTGTTGGGTATCCAGTAGGAGTCTTCTTGGCGGAACGACTGAAGAATCCGAAACGGGAGGAAAAATCCTTCTTCGGTTTCTTCCCTTTCACTGGCTCAGCAGATGGTTCATTTTCCGGTTCAGATTTGACGTATGCAATCAGACGAATCTCTTTCTTCTCCTGTTCTTCTACTACTGGAGTCTTTTCCTTCTTTGGAGACTTGACTTTCTTCACTGGACTTGGCACTGGGGACGCTGGAATTGTTCTATACTCCCATTGTCCTGGAACAGCTTCCAGTGGTGCATGCTCGATTTCTCCAGATGGACGGATGTCATCGAGCATTCCTTCGAAGAGTTCAGACGAGAATCCATATTTGTCTGGCTTCTCAACCTCATCTTCATCCCCATCGTGTCTCCATCTGGCAAACAATCGGAAATGTTTCTTCTCGGTTTCGGATGGATCTTCAGTTGAAGCAAGGAGTTTAGGAACTTCCTCGTTGGGCTTTGGAACGTACGGAGGATACTCTGGATGGTCAAATGAAGATCCTTCCATTTCTGGATTACGATCGGTGGTATCCAAGTCTCCAGTGAAGACATCAGAAGTGGTTGGGTATCCAGCAGGAGTCTTTTTGGCGGTCTTGGAGAAGAATCCAAATTTGGAAGAAGATTCCTTCTTTGGCTTCTTCTCCTTAACTGGCTCTTCTTCCGGTTGTGTCTTGATCCTGGCAATCAACCGAATCTCCTTCTTCTCTGGTTCTTCTGGCTCTCCAAGAGCGGCAACTGGAGTAGTCAACTTTTCAACTCTCCATGATTCACCATGGTGAGTAACAGTTGAGTAGTCTCCGATTGGCACTTGATCCAACTCGACTACACGATGAATATCGTCAAGTGGTCCAGAATAGAGCTCAGAAGACATTCCATAGGCGTCTGGCTTCTCAACGACATCTTCTTCACCTTCGTGACGGAATCTGGCGATGAGACGATACCGTTTTTTCTCCTCGAGGAATTGTGGAAGACCAGATTGTTCATCGGTGGATTTTGGAACATATGGTGGGATGTCCTTGTGTTCGAATGGAGATGATTCGAGATCTTGGGAACGATCAGTTGTATCCAGATCTCCTGAGAAAGCATCTGAAGTTGTTGGGTAACCGGCAGGAGTCTTTTTGGCTGATCGACTGAAGAATCCAAATTTGGAAGATGATTCTTTCTTTGGCTTCTTCTCCTTGACTGGCTCGACAACTGGCTCGACTTCTTGCTGTGATTTGATTCTGGCAATAAGACGGACTTCTCTGCTTTCTGGTTCTTCTGGTTCTGGGGTCTTCTCCTTCTTCGGCGATTTTTGTTTCTTTAGAGACTTGGTCTTCTTTTCAAGAGTAGCAACTGGGGCCACTGGAAGTTTTGAGTACTCCCATTGTCCAGGAAGAGCCTCGAGTGGAGACTGATCGATTTCTCCAGATGGTCCAATGTTCTCCAATTCTCCAGAATAAACTTCAGAAGACATCTTGTAAGCATCTGGCTTCTCAACGACGTCTTCATCTCCTTCGTGTCTCCATCTGGCAATAAGACGGTAGAGTCTGTTCTCCGACCTCTGTGGAGATTCTGATTCCTCTTTCACAACCTTCTTTGGAGAGTAAGCTGGAATTTCTGGATGTTCAAATGCAGAAGTCTCCAACTCGAGAGCTCTGCCAGTCGATTCAAGGTTTCCAGTATATAGCTCTGAAGCTTCTGTATGCGATGTTGAAGACGTTCGATGGAAGAATCCGAAACCAGGAAGTTTCGATTTGGAATCTCTCTTCTTTGCTTCCTTGTCAACTTCTGGAGCAAGATCCTCCTCGGTTTCAGATCGAATACGAGCGATGAGTCGGACTTCTCTGGTTTCTGGTTCTTCGGGCTCTGGAATCTTAGCTTTCTTTGGAGACTTGGCCTTCTTGTGTTTCTTCTCGAGAGTGGCAGCTGGAGTTGGGAGTTTAGAATATTCCCATTGGCTTGGAGAAGCTTCCAGTTGGGCATGATCGATTTCTCCAGATGGTCTAATATCATTGAGTGGTCCATCATGAACTTCAGTTGAGAATCCATACTTGTCTGGCTTCTCAACCACATCTTCTTCTCCTTCGTGTCTCCATCTGGCAATCAGTCTGTAGAGTCTGTTTTCAGATTCCTGCGGAACTTCTGGAGTCTCAACAACGACTACTTTTGGAGAATATTCTGGATGTTCTGGAGATTCGAAGTACGAAAATTCGATGTCTTCGACACGTTTGGTAGTGTCCAAGTGGCCAACGAAGGTTTCAGAAGTCTCTGGGTAGCCAGTGCCAGTGGTCTTAGTAGTTTTAGAGAAGAATCCAAAAGCTGGAAGTTTCGACTTCGAGTCCCTCTTCTTTTTCTCTTTGATTGGCTCCGCGACTGGTTCATCATCTTCCTCGGATCTGATTCTAGCGATCAGACGGACTTCTCTGGTTTCTAGTTCTTCCGGAGACTCGACCTTGATTTTTTTGGGATATTTGATTTTCTTCTCGAGAGTAGCGGCTGGTGTTGAGAGTTTTGAATACTGCCATTGTCCAGGAACAGCATCTAGTGGGCCATGTTCGATTTCTTCAGATGGATGGATATCATCGAGGGGTCCATCGTAGACTTCTGGAGCGAATGCATAGGCATCTGGCTTCTCAACGACCTCCTCATCTCCTTCGTGTCTCCATCTGGCAAACAATCGGAAATGCTTCTTTTCTGGCTCAGCTGAAACTTCTGGAGTCTCGGTGACAGTAATCTTTGGAGCATAAGCAGGATACTCTGGATGATCGAAAGAGGATCCTTCCATTTCTGGATGACGATCGGTGGTATCCAAATCTCCAGTGTAGGCATCGGAAGTTGTTGGGTAACCGAGTGGAGTCTTGGCGGTTTTGGAACGAGAGAAAAATCCGAATCTGGAAGAAGAATCCTTTTTCGGTTTCTTCTCTTTGACTGGCTCTGTAGCTGGTTTATCTTCTGGCTCTGTCTTGATACGAGCAATCAGACGGATTTCCTTCTTTTCTGGTTCTTCCGGAATTTCAGCCTTGGCTTTCTTCGGAGACTTGGTCTTCTCCTCGACAACAGGACTGGCTGGTTTCTCAACCTTCCATGATTCCCATTGTCCTGGAACAGCTTCAAGTGGAGAATGCTCGATTTCTCCAGATGGTCTGATATCCTCGAGTGGTCCTTCATGAACTTCAGTCGAGAATCCATAATTGACAGGTTTCTCAACAACGTCTTCATCTCCCTCATGTCTACACCTGGCGATCAGTCTGTAGCGTTTCTTTTCTGGCTCAGCTGGAACTTCTGGGGTCTCAGTGACAGTAACTTTTGGAACGTATGCTGGGTATTCTGGATGGTCGAATGAAGACTGCTCCATATCATAGACACGATCAGTAGTATCCAAATCTCCAGAATAAGCATCAGAAGTTGTAGGATACCCAGCTGGAGTCTTGCTGGATCTAGAGAAGAATCCAAATCTGGTAGATTCCTTCTTTGGCTTCTCCTCCTTAACCGACTTAACAACTGGTTCATCTTCTGGCTCTGATCTAACTTTGGCAATCAGACGAATCTCCTTCTTCTCTGGCTGAGCTGGTTCCTCCATCTTGATCTTCTTGGGAGATTTGATCTTCTTTTGAACAAGAGGGCTTTCTGGGAGCTTCGAGTATTGAGTTTTGGTTGGAGCAGCATCCAATGGACCGTGTTCGATTTCTCCAGATGGGCGGATATCATCGAGTGGTCCATCATAGACTTCTGGAGCGAATGCATAGGCATCTGGCTTTTCAACAACGTCTTCATCTCCTTCGTGTTTCCATCTGGCAATCAGTCTGTACCGCTTCTTCTCTGGTTCGGCTGGAACTTCTGGAGTCTCGGTGACAGTAATCTTTGGAGCATAAGCAGGATATTCTGGATGATCGAATGAAGATCCTTCCATTTCTGGATTACGATCCGTGGTATCCAAGTGTCCAGTGTAGGCATCGGAAGTCGTTGGATATCCAGCAGGAGTCTTATTGGATCTAGAGAAGAATCCAAATCTGGCAGATTCCTTCTTTGGCTTCTTCTCCTTAGCCGACTCAACCAGTGGATCATCTTCTGATTCTGACTTGATTCTGGCGATGAGACGGACTTCTCTGGTTCCTGGCACTTCAGGCACTTCCACCTTGGTCTTCTTGGGAGACTTGGCTTTCTTTTGAAGCACTGGACTTTCTGGAAGCTTCGAGTACTGTGTTTTAGATGGCACAACATCCAGTGCAGCATGATCGATTTCTGCATTCAAAGATGTCTCTTGAAGTTCTCCAGTGTACATCTCTGGAGAGAATTCATAGAATTCTGGTTTCTCCACTTCGTCCTCTTCTCCATCATGACGATAGCGAGCAATGAGGCGGTAGGTCTTTTTCTCAACCAGAATGCGATCTGGAGTTTCAGATCGTTGACTCTTCGGTGATGCAGGAGTTTCCTTCACTTTTGGATCGTACGGAGGATACTCTGGATGGTCGAATGAGGTTCCTTCCATTTCTGGATTACGATCGGTAGTATCAATTTCTCCAGTGTAGGCATCAGAAGGTGCTGGGTATCCAGCAGGAGTCTTTTTGGCAGATTTACTGAAGAATCCGAATTTAGACGAAGATTCCTTCTTCGGCTCCTTTCCCTTGGCAGGTTCGGCAGTTGGCTCCTCCTCGGTTTCGGATCGAATACGAGCAATGAGTTGGACTTCTTTGGTTTCTGCTTCTTCTGGTTCTGGAATCTTCTCTTTCTTTGGAGACTTGACCTTCTTGTGTTTCTTCTCGAGAGTGGCAGCTGGAGTTGGAAGTTTCGAATACTGCCATTGTCCAGGAAGAGCTTCGAGAGGACCATGTTCGATTTCTCCAGTTGGGCGGATATCCTCTAGTGGTCCATCGTACACATCTGGAGCGAACGCATAAGCATCCGGCTTCTCAACCACATCCTCATCTCCTTCATGTCTCCATCTAGCGATCAGACGGTAAAGTCTATTCTCAGTCTCATGGGGAACTTCTGGAGTCTCGACGGTTTTCTTTGGTGAGTAGACTGGATGTTCAGAATGTTCGAAAGACGTTCCCTCAAACTCATGAGATCGATTAGTGGTATCTAAATCGCCAGAGAAATGCTCGGTTTGTTCTGGATAGCCAGTAGTCTTCGAGGTCTTCGTGGTGATCTTGGAGAAGAACCCAAATTTGGATGGCGACTTCTCTTTGACAGGAGATTCCAGGATTGGTTCGACGTCTTGTTCAGATTTGACTCTAGCAACTAGACGGATTTCTCGGGTTTCTGGTTCTTCGGGTGTTGGAATCTTCTCTTTCTTTGGAGACTTGGCCTTCTTCTGTTTCTTCTCGAGAGTGGCAGCTGAAGTTGGGAGTTTTGAGTATTCCCATTGTCCTGGAAGAGCCTCGAGTGGAGACTGATCGATTTCTCCAGATGGTCCAATGTTTTCCAATTCTCCAGAATAAACTCCAGAAGAAATATTGTAAGCATCTGGCTTCTCAACGACGTCTTCATCTCCTTCGTGTCTCCATCTGGCGATCAGACGATACAATCTATTTTCAGATGTAACTGGAGCTTCTGGAGTTTCTTCAACATTAGTCTTTGGAGCATAAGCTGGGTACTCTGGATGATCGAACGGAGTTCGATCAATGTCACGATGGAGTCCAGTCGTATCCAATTCTCCAGTGTAGACTTCAGAAGTTGGGAAGTGAGAAGTCGATGGTTCCTGAGTGCGATGGAAGAATCCGAAGGTAGAAATCTTCGACTTGGAACCTCTCTTCTTCTGTTTCTTTTCCTTAATCGCTTCGGCAACTGGCTCGACTTCTTGCTCTGATTTGATTCTGGCAATAAGACGGACTTCTCTGCTTTCTGGTTCTTCTGGTTCTGGAGTCTTCTCCTTCTTCGGTGACTTTTGTTTCTTTGGAGATTTGGCTTTCTTCTCAGGAGTAGCAGCAGGAGTTGGGAGTCTTGAGTATTCCCATTGGCTTGGAGCAGCTTCGAGAGGACCATGTAGGATTTCTCCAGATGGGCGGATATCATCGAGTGGTCCATCGTAGACTTCTGGAGCAAATGCATAGGCATCTGGCTTCTCAACGACATCCTCATCTCCTTCGTGTCTCCATCTGGCAAACAATCGGAAATGCTTCTTCTCTGGCTCAGCTGGAGCTTCTGGAATTTCGGTGACAGTAACCTTTGGAGCATAAGCTGGATACTCTGGATGCTCGAATGAAGATCCTCCCATTTCTGGATTACGGTCGGTGGTGTCGAGTTCTCCAGTGTACGCATCGGAAGTCGTTGGGTAGCCAGCAGGAGTCTTCTTGGTCTTGGTGGTCTTGGAGAAGAATCCAAATTTGGAAGATCCTTCCTTCTTCGGCTTCTTTTCCTTAACTGACTCAACCAATGGATCGTGTTCCTGCTCTGACTTGACGTAGGCGATCAAACGAATTTCCTTCTTTTCTGGTTCTTCTACTACTAGAGTCTTCTCCCTCTTTGGAGACTTGGTCTTCTTTTCAAGTGTAGCAATTGGGGCCACTGGAAGTTTTGAGTATTCCCATTGTCCAGGAAGAGCATCGAGTGGAGACTGATCGATTTCTCCAGATGGTCCAATGTTCTCCAATTCTCCAGAATAAACTTCAGAAGACATCTTGTAAGCATCAGGCTTCTCAACGACGTCTTCATCTCCTTCGTGTCTCCACCTGGCAATAAGACGGTAGAGTTTGTTCTCGGTTCCAGCTGGGGCTTCAAAAGTCTCGGGTTCCGATGTAGTTGGCTGATCGGCTTGAGTCTTCTTGGCAGAGCGACTGAAGAATCCAAATTTGGAAGAAGATTCCTTCTTTGGCTTCTTTTCTTTAATTGGAGCAACAACTGATTCATGTTCTGGTTCTGACTTGATTCTGGCGATGAGACGGACTTCTTTAATTTCTTGTTCTTCGGGGACTTCAGTCTTGGCTTTCTTCGGAGACTTGGCCTTCTTCTCAACAAGAGGACTGGCTGGTTTCTCAACCTTCCAAGATTCCCATTGTCCAGGAACAGCTTCAAGTGGGCAATGTTCGATTTCACCAGATGGTCTGATGTCATCGAGTGGTCCATCATGAACTTCAGTTGAGAATCCATACTTGTCTGGCTTCTCAACAACGTCTTCATCTCCCTCATGTCTCCACCTGGCGATCAGTCTGTAGCGTTTCTTTTCTGGCTCAGCTGGAACTTCTGGGGTCTCAGTGACAGTAACTTTTGGAGCATAAGCAGGATACTCTGGATGGTCGAATGAAGACTGCTCCATATCATAGACACGATCGGTAGTATCCAAATCTCCAGAATAAGCATCAGAAGTTGTTGGATAACCAGCTGGAGTCTTGCTGGATCTTGAGAAGAATCCAAATCGGGAGGAAGATACTTCCTTCTTTGGCTTCTTCTCCTTAACCGACTTAACCAATGGATCGTGTTCCTGTTCCGATTTGACGTAGGCGATCAGACGAATCTCCTTTTTCTCTGGTTCTTCTTCCACTGGAACAGCAACATTCTTCGGAGGTTTGGTCTTCGTCTCCTTGACTGCTGGACCGGAAGGTTTCGCAACAATTCCATACTCTGATTGGCGTGGAACTGCTTCAAGTGGGGCTTCCTCAATTTCTCCAGATGGTCGGATGTCATCAATTGGTCCAACGTGAGCATCAGTAGAGAATCCATAGGAATTTGGATTCTCAACAACGTCTTCTTCTCCTTCATGACGTAATCTGGTGATCAATCGGTAACGCTTCTTCTCGGTTTTCTTTGGTACTCGGACAGCTTCAACGATGATGTTCTTTGGAATGTATTCAGGATATTCAGCGTGTTCAAATGTCGAGGTTTCGAGGTCATGAGAGCGTTTCATAGTATCCAGATCTCCAGCATAGGCATCGGAAGTTGTTGGGTAGCCAGCTGGCGTCTTCTTGGCAGATTTAGTAAAGAATCCAAACTTGGACGAAGATTCCTTCTTTGGCTTCTTTTCCTTGAATGAATCGACAACTTGCTCCTCTTCTGGCTCTGTCTTGATCTTGGATATCAGTCGGATCTCCTTCTTCTCTGGTTCTTCTGGCACAGACTTCTTCGCAACCTTCACTTTCTTCTCCTTCTTCTCAACAACTGGAACCGGTGCAACCCAAGGAGCTTTCGAGTAGTCTTCCAATGGCGCATGATCGATCTCTCCAGATGGTCGGATATCATCAAGTGTTCCTTGGTAGATTTCTGAATCGAATCCATAGGCTTCCGGCTTCTCAACGACGTCTTCTTCTCCCTCGTGACGGAATCTAGCGAGTAGACGGTACCGTTTCTTCTCATGACTGACGACTGGATCGGTTTCGGAGATGATTCTGGTTGGGGAGGATTCCGAAGAATCAGCAGCTTGGGTGGTCTTTGAGGTCTTCTTGGATTTCGACTTTTGAGATTCTTCTGGCTCGGTTGGCAGGTACCTAGCAACCAATTTAACTTCTCTTGGTGGTTCCTCCTCCTTCTTCACCTTCTTCTGTTTTCTCACCGCCAGCACAGGAGATTTCTTGGCACTCAACTTGGTGTAGAATCCATCATGATAGACTCCAGAGATTCTCGAATGTTCTAGATCTCTTTCCAAAGCAGTCGTCTCCAATGGACCATCGTATGAAGTAGATGGGAATCCATAGGCAGCAGGAGCTTCGACAACATCCGAATCGCTTCGGACAGATGGTTCGTAGGCTTCTTCAGGCTTCGGCTTGTAGGCTGGGTAGTCTCCATGCTCAAATCCTGAATGTTCCAAATCGTCGGAGCGTTTGGTGGTGTCCAGGTCTCCGGTGAAGGCATCGGAAGATTCAGGGTAGCCAGTTCTGGTAGTCTTAGTGGTCCGCGAGAAGAATCCAAAGCGACTGGAAGACTCCTTCTTGGGCTTTTGAGTCACTTCAGATGACTCAGTAGCTTCTGGTTCCTGTTCATTAATCACACGAGCGATCAGACGAACTTCCTTCTTCTCTGTCTCTTCAGATGGAACGGCCACAATCTTCTTGGTCTTCTTGGTTTTTTTCTCTATTGGAGATGTCGTAGGTGTCTGGGTATGCTCGAATGGTTCTTCTTCCTTCGGCTTCGGAACGTAGGCTGGGTATTCTGGATGATCGAACGAGGATCTATCAAGATCCTGGACGCGGGTGGTGGTATCCAGATCTCCAGAATATGCTTCAGAAGTCGTTGAATAGCCAGGTCTAGAAGATTTGGTGGTCCTGGAGAAAAATCCGAAACGGGACTTGGGAGTTTCAGAATGTCTAGATGAGTCTGGCTCTTCTGGTTCAGAACGAACTTTTGCAATCAGACGGATCTCTTTCTTCTCTGGTTCCTCTGCAGGAACCTTCTTCGAACTCTTCTGTTGCTTGCCAACTGGTACCACAGTATCCTCAATCTTCTCATAAGCCCATGTTCTAGGCTGCGCTCCCAATGGAGCCTGCTCCAGTTCTCGACGTCTTCCAATCTCCTCAACTGGTCCAGTATGTGCTCCAGATGAGAATCCATAAGTTTCAGGCTTCTCAACAACATCTTCATCTCCTTCGTGGCGAGTGCGAGCGATCAAGCGGTACTTTTTGGGAACTTCAGGAGTCTCCACGTGGCTGTGTCGTTTCTTCGTTTTGGAGGGGTGTTCTTGGGAAGTCGATTCGGCAGTGGTTGGCTTTGGAGAGTAGGCTGGCACTGGATGAGGATGCTCGTAATCAGATGGCTCAAGCTCTCCGGCACGTTTGGTCGTGTCCAAGTCTCCAGAGAAAGCATGCGAGGATTCAGGATAGCCTTTGGATTTTTTGGTAGTGAAGAATCCTCCGAAACGACTCCGGCTCTCTTGACTGGATGGAGAAGGCACTGGAGAGGAAGACGGTGGGATCTTGGGTGTCTTCTTCTTCTTATCCTTCTTCTTCCTGTGCTCCTCAGAACTCTGAACCAAATCAGAAGTGATCACAGTGGTGGTAGTGGTTACTGTCGTGGTTGTCGCTGAGCTTCTAGTCATCTCTTCAGTAGTATCAGTCAAATTTCCACTTCGATCCACACTGGCCGACAAACGGACCCGTCGATCAGCATCTGGGGATTCCCGTCGAACCTTGGTGGAAACAACTTGCTCACGCTGGGAGATAGTGGCTGTGACATTGGAAGAAGATTGTCCTCCTCCATTCTTTCCATCATTGCTCACCACTAATGGATGAACATGAGTGATCAATCGATACTTGGGTGGCTCTGTTTTCTGAGTGGAGTCTCCAGAGTGATAGCGTCTTGTGAATTGTTGGATGTTGACTGGTTGAACCTCACGGCTCAACTCCGTCCGATGAAGTGGATCACTAGTTGAGGCTGCAGAGAATTCATAATCCTTCAGATCAATCTTCTCCTTCACATCCTCCTTTCCTGGATGACTGAGACGTTTCGCTGGGTCACGACGCCTGGCTCCACTATGTCTAACATCTACATAGAATCGAATTGGCTGTTGATCCATCTCCCCGTCAGGTTGTAGATTGTCCACGTGGCTTACACCGTTGCGTGGAGTGTAGTTTCCAAACCCATATGGGAGTTCGACGCGCTGTTGCTGATGTCTGGGACTCAGCCGATCGTAGTGTCCTTCGTGATAGACGTGTACAATTCGTTCGATAGGAATCTGTGGCAACTCGTTGGTTGGATAGGTGTTCGGAATCGGTTCGTTCGGATCTACAGGCTCGTGGAATGAGACTAGACGGACACTATTAGTTGCCGAACTTCGAGCATCGGATGATCGACCAAACAAGTTTCGACGAGCTCCACTTCTTCCAGATGAATCTGTCTGTCTCATCTGCACATGATACTCTCCATGATGCTGTCCTTCGTAGTAGACTGGACTCGTCGGACTGGTATACTCCGAAGGCGGATAGTAGGCAGACGAAGGCGTTCGAAGAGAGGATCGTTCAGACATGTAATAAGCGGCTGAGGAGTACTGAGATGAGTCGTCTCTGGGTGAGTAGGATAGATCCTGTTGCTGCTGCTGATGGTGCCCCGACGTAGAAACAACTAGCATTGTGGAGGGACGAGAGTATTTGGCAAATGTGGCATTCGAGATCGCGTCATCGTCTTGGCGAGAGGATGTGTAGGATTTGGGTGTCAATGCGCGGCGGTATCGCTGAAATTTGGGACCGAATGAGGACGGGGCGGCTAGGGATTGGACACTTGACGGCAAACTATAGAGATAGAGATAAACCAAGGGGGTTTCTGGGGGTTGGTGTGGTGGTGCAGAAACTAAACTACTTTTTATAGACTGATAGGAGTATGAAAATAAGGGAATTAGGGTTTTTAGAGTGGATTTTTTTTTGGGAAATTCATAAAGGTAAATTTCATTCAGAAGGTATATTTTCAAAAAATGAAAATTCCCTATTACCATAATCTTGTCAGTCTAGAAAAAGAACATAGAGAGAAAGCACACAACACACGAAAAATAAAACGATGACGACGACGACTTCGGGATGCACAGCGAGCCACTCCTCCTTCCTCCCATTTGGATTACTGTAGTTTTGGATTCATAAGACACATCCAACCTTCTTCCATCCACAATCTCACACGACGAATCCCGCAAAAAAGACACTCCGATGAATTACTGTAGTTTTTGACGACACGAGATTCTATACTATCACTACTAATGGGTGCGTAGAGAGAGGGGTTAGAGATAGAGAAATATGATGAAAAAATACAGAACTTTTGGAGAGAAAATACCGATCTAGAGCTAGAAAAAAGGGGCGGAGTCTTAGATAATATCCTAAAACCTAGAAAAAGGGACGAGGCCTAGAAACTCGATTCTTTCCCCCCTCTCCACATATACGCCGATACGTTACAGATGTTTACAGAGAAAACTGAAAAAATCTAGTGGAGATTTTTCAGGCTGAAAATTTCAGATATACAGTAAAATATAGAATTCCAGAAACTTCTGAAATTCAAAAAAAATGTATATAAAGTCACACGTAAAGTAGAAGGGGCTAGAAGCTAGGAGTAGAAGTGAACAGCCAGGTTTTTTTTGAGGTCAATGGGGGTAAAGTGTCATTTTATAGGTCATTATTTCGGGGGATGGGGGGAAATATGAAAATTTGGAACTTTTGGCTGAAAATTAGATATTTTAGAGCTGAAAATTGTGATTTTTAGAGCTGAAAACGGTGAAAGTGGTGTGTGTAGATGTGCTCGAGGGACTTTTTTAAAAAGTATTTTTTCTCCAAAATTCTGATTTTTTTGAAAATTCTGATTTTTTGGTTAATTTTCGGTGAGGTAACATAAAAAAAGCACACAAAAAGCACCATGCAAACTGAAAATGCACTGGAAAATTAGTCTTTTTTCGAAACAAAATGATAGATTTACAGAATAGAGAAGCAAAGTGCATTCCTTTCAAAAATGAACGGAAACTAACCTCGAATTGACGTTGCTCCAATTCAGAATCCGTTAGATTGAGCGTCTGGAGCTTTTGATCCTCGGCGGCTGGAAAAGTTTGGGATTAGAGCGAATAAAAAATTTGGGATTAGAGCGAATTTAGGGGAAAAAATAGATCTAAATGTGTAGAAAAGTATGTAGATTAGCATAGAAACAAGGAAAACGGTTTTAAAAAATCGCGAAATCTTGAAAAATCTCTGAAAGTCCATTTTTGGAAGGTTCTAGAATCTTTTTTTGAATCCCCGCCAACACTGAAAACTCAAAAAATTGAGCGATTTTCGAAAGAAAAATTCATTTTTTCTTCATTTTTTTGGCAAAATTTTTAGACTCTTAAGTTTTTCAATTATTTTTGAAGATTTTTTTTTCGATTTTTCCGAATTTTTCGATTACTGTAGATTACTGTAGAAAACCTATTTCCTTTTGTAGTTTTTTTTTTGCAAACACAATCACGTCGAGAAAACCAAAAAAGGAAATCAGCTTTCTACAGTAATCTACAGTAATCTTCCGTCAAGAATCCGTGGAATTTCAGACAAAGAATTCCGAAAAATTGAAAAATATCTTTAAAAATAGCTGAAAAACGTGAAAAGGTCTAAAAATTTTGCGAAAAAATCAAGGAAAAAATTAATGTTTGATCTCGAAAATTCGCTTAAAATTGCTATTTTCCCGAGTTTTCAGTTTTGCGGGAATTCAAAAAAAAAAGACTCGAGAACCTTCCAGAAGTTTCTTGAAGCGATTTTTTGAACGTTTTCCTTGTTGCTAAATGAATCTACACAGTTTTCTACACATTTTGATATGTTTGAAAATTCTTTGTCCCTCTCTCTATTTCCAAGTGTCCAGAAGTCCGGATTTTAAGAATATCTGTCTGTCTGTCTGTTATTCCAGACGTCCATCATTTTCATCAAATAAAAAACTCACAAGCAATCGGCTGAGACATTGCAGATGGTGCTCGATCGACAGTCGACGGTTTGTCAAACATTTGCGACGCGATTTTCGTCTGGAATTGCGTGCGTCCCTGATAGCGGAAGCGTTGTGAGCCGAAATTAAAGAACGACTTATGTGGACGGTCCTCGGGTTGGATGAGTCTGAAAAAGTAGGAAATTAGGCTCTGGTACAAAAACAGCGAAGATGTGGAAGCGAATGAAGCCAAGGCCTAAGGTTTCCCCAACGACAACTACCGTAATCTAGAAATTTTTTATTTCCCGAATGGTTACGGTAATGGTCGTTGTAGGACCTTCAGTCCAAGCCAAAGACGTCTACTCACCTAAAGAACGTATGATGCTCAACGGCACACTTCCACGCGCGCTTCGATGCGACATGAGTTGGCATCTTGTAGTACAACGTCTTCTCATCCTTTCCAATTGTTCCAGCCTTCAGTTTCACCGAGAAATAGGTACGCTTGTATCCAATCTTGATGATGTTTTGCCAGATGAACGAATGCACCTTCTGCTCGTCTTGATAGACATTGATGCCTGCGGCGCCGACGCCAATGTCCACTGGCTTCTTGTCTTTGTCCTGGAAATAGGTCTTTAGGGAGTTCGGAGGGGTTTGGTGATCAAAAAATCCTGTTTTTCAGGGCAAAAAGCTATTTTCAAAGGACCAAGAGGTTTCTAAAAGTGGTTAAAAGGTAAAAAATCGCAAAAAAATACGTACGGTAGCCTTGAAAATGTGAATTCCGTAGAGAGCCAAATGCTTGCAATGATCCAAAAAGAGACACTCTGCTTCTCCTGTCGTCTGTCCTCTTAGTTCTCGATGCAACTCGGCAATCTTGGCGAACGTCTCCGGTGTGGCGTTGGCTGATGGCACCAGCTTCGCGCCCACAATATACTTCTCATACTCATCGGCAATATGTGCTGGCGCGTCTCCGAACTCGATTTGAGCGACAAACGAGCCGAGAAGAGCATGAGTTTCTGGTGTGGCTGGAAGACGTCCTGTCAGAAGATCACGACGTAGTTGAAGGAAAAGATAGTAGCGAGCATGATCATCGACAATTGTTGTTGGGGTCGTTGGGTAGAATTTGACCTCGAATGAGAATTCCCATGGGAGACCTGCAACGAAATTCAAGTTTTTAGGAGAAAAAACCCTTGAAGTTTTAAAAAACTGAATTTTCTTCTGTAAATTTCAGCTAATTTGCGTTTTTAGAAGAAAAAATCCGAATTTTCTGAAAATTTCAGCTAAACGTTGCAATATTCAGAAAATTGTGAGCAAATTGATTTTTCTGATTTTTTCTCGAATTTTTCGGTCGAATATTGACCATTTGAATTGCAGAAAAATTCTGAAAAATCAGATCTTTCAACAGCGACCCATATTTTTGGAATTTTCAGCGAAAATTTCAAAAATTCTGAAATTACAACAAATTTAAAAAAATTAGATATTTCCGACTTTTTACAGAATTTTTTCGGTCAGAATGTGAGAATTAGAGTTACAGCAAAAACTTGAAAACCCTGATTTTAGGCCAAAACCCATATTTCTGAAACTTTCAGAAAAAAATTCAAAAATCTCTTTTTTAGCTCAAATTTTCCATTTCCCGCCGATTTTTCTCGAATGTTCCAGATTTTCCAGATATTCTCTAGCCTACTTCTCTGTACCTTTAATCTGTTTTGCAATCTGTTTGTCATTGTACAACCAGTGTCGCGTTCCCTCCTCCTTATCATAGAAACACAGTGAGAAATATTCGCGTTCCTCGATTGACAAGTCACGAGTGACTTGATGGAAAAGCGCTTCTCCTTCCGAATTTTTCTGGAAACACATCGTCAATTATTTGAGCCAAATTTTCCTGTTTTCCACTTACATTAACCTCAAACTCCTTCTTGACTCCGTCTGGAAGAAGCACTTGGGCCACCTGCATTTTTGGATTGTGATGGGGCGCTGGTGTCGCTGGTTTTTGGTCTCCGGGATCTCTGTCGGTACCCATTTGCTCTGAAAATTCGAAAAAATTAGTTGAAAATCGGGTTAAATTGGGTAAAATTGAGGAAGAATCGGTGAAAAAGGTCGGAAAATTCAAATTTCTGGTAGCGCCCAATGCAAGCGCGCCCCATCGCCACGCGCGAGAAGAGACATAAAGGGGATTTTCAGACATTTTTCTGGTTTTTTCCCGGGAAAAGTAGCCGTCAGGGGGCGGTAATAAATTCTTCCAGCTGTCAGAAAGCAATGGAATAGAGAAAGAAAGAGGGATAGAGGGCAATAAAAAATTACACAAAGAGTAAAGAAATATGTTGTTGCTGGTGGTGGGAAAACAACGATGATTCAGATGATTGTAGAGCACAAATTGGTCAAGAGAGATTTCAAAAAATTGAGAAGTTTATGTAGATCAAGAAAAAAGTAGATCAAAAAACCTTTTTCTGATATTTGCAGTATTTGCCACGTGGCAGGAACCATACCATAGGAACCATAGGAACCATAGAAACCTAGGTTTACAGAGCAAAGAAGAAATTCCAAGTCTTTTTTAAAATTAAAAATTGAGTCAAAAAAAGACACTCTTGAATTTTTGGATAAATAAATTTCTTCAGAAAATCTGAAATTTTAGGCCTAAATTACAATTTTTTCCAAAAAGAAGAAATCGTAATAAAAACGAAAAGTTGTTGGGAAAATACCCTCTCCCATCAATTGATGATGGGGTATTGGATGACAACAGTTGGCTATTTTTTCTTCTTCTCCAGAATCCTCTTCTCTGGAGAAGAAGAAGCAGAAGAAGAAGGCAACAAAAAACAAAATAAAGCGTTTTCCTCTACATTACACTGTTCTATACATACATACCGCCCATCTTTCTGTCTCTTTTTCTTATAGGAAATTTAGAAAAAGAAGAAGAAGAGGAAGGTGTTGCAAAAAATAAGAAGAAGAAAATTTTTTTTTTCCAATTGAAAAATCAGAGAAGAGAACAAACAATGTTTTATTGTTGAACCAGCTTTTTGGAGGGAAGAATTTGAGGTGTAGAAGAAGAAGAGAGAAGATAATTAATTGGCGGTAATTAAGCAATTAATTGACACTAATTAAAAGTGGAAAAGGTGTGTGCGTTGTAATATATTTAAAATGACTAGGGAGACAGCGATTTTTGAATTTTCGGCTTGAATCAAGACTCTTTGGAATACTGT